AGAGCCTAATCAATGGTGCCCTGGAATATCCACTTTGATGTGCATAATGCAATCCTGCTTCTCTATCAGTAGTGTGGAGGTGCCGTGAAAACCAACTGAGCTATAACTTGCACAGAACAGAGCTGTGGGTGAATTATGAAAGTAATTCCCTGGCAAGTGTAATTATTTCTCTCCTCATACAATCCACTCATCACGGGGTCTGGGGAAATTTCAGTGGAATATAACAGACACACTCTTGGCCTCAGCCACCAGAATGGTAGAACACTTCCGCTAAAAACCGGAGATTCTTGTTTACACCCATTAATAACATCTTCTACATTAATGAATTGCATTCATGCTGTCATCCATTAAGAAGGTACTTTGAGGTCTCTCTCTGCACAAAACACTAGCTTCTCCTGGTGACTCTATTGTTATACAGCCCATAAATAAAACAAGTGTTTTCCCTTCATATTTGAGGTCTGCAATTAAATCTACTAAATGGACTGCAGATGCACAGTTTACAGTAAGTGATTCATCTTGGAAGATCATGGAAATGTTGAAGTCACCACAATGAAGTAGCATAGTTGTCAAATTAGGACAATTTCAGAGAGTAACAAACACCAGAAATTTCATCTATGCAAACCAACCTTCCTCATTATGGCCAGTGGTGAAGAACTTAAAACCCTGAAGTAGGAAACCCTGTATACCACAGAAATTATGATCTTATGCTAATTTTTCAAATGAGAAATTGCATTTCCTGAAAGAATAGTACCTAGTGAGGTAATACGGTAGTTAACAGATGCGTGCTACTAAGTACAGCCTCCAATGTGCTAAACTTCAGAGAGGAAGGGGACTCACCTAAGCCAAGGAAAATGTCTGTTGTATTACTGAATACAGAATATTGGATAGAAACAGAGAAAAACTGTCCAGTGGTAATGTACTCTTCTCTGGAACAGTCTATGCTCTGAATTACAGTTCTGATCACTATTGCATAGCTGGCCTGCTTTCTTCACAGCACATGCTGAGGTGGCAGTACCATCCCTTTGAGGAAAAAAAAAAAAAATCTCAGTTTCAGATACAGCAGAGTTCATGGGACATGTTGCTTAGGGAGAATAGCTTTCTTCTCATTCATCAGAGCAGACCTAGTCTTATGCTCTAGCAATATCCCCCATTTACCTAGAAGTGGCATATGTGGGGTTCAGATGAGAGTTGCCTGTTGAAGAGTTGCAGAGCCACACTAAGCATAAGGCAAGCCTACAGTGCACTGCACAATCTTTCTAAAAGCAAAGTTGCAGGCTCAGTCCCTGCCCCATGCTAGGCTGCCCTGAGATTTCTTGTCTCTACGAGACCAACTTCATCATCAACTATTGTATCCTTATACTACAAATCAGAACCAGGAACTATGTGCCATGGACACTTTATGCAGCCTTGGAAATCTGGGTCTGGAGCCAAGCAATCAAAATCAGAGGAGAAAGAGCAGTATTAGTTTCTTTACAGAAGACAGAGAACTCTCAGGTGGCAGAATGAAAATGGTCCCTGAGAGCATAAAATAATTGTTAATTAGTTACATCACCATCATCACTTGTTATTCACTGTATTGATTTTAATTGTCTCCTTCTAAAGCATCAGTCAAATATTACTCACCGACACCAATGAAGTGTTGGCTCACAAGCCCAACAAAGCACATCTTGTCTCCTCAAAAGAATAACAAAACAACCTAGGCTTCCCAGTAGTATCTGATGTGCTGAGAGTGCCCATCTGTCTGCAGGCAGCTTTTACAGGCTTACTGAAGAATGTGATTCCCTTTACTGGCCAGGATTATTCTCCCAGTGGTGGGAATACATATCTATTTATGGGATCCACATAGAGGAGCTGCATTTAATTTGACATTTGCATAGAAGAAAGTGGGGTCTTGCATTCATTGGTAGTGAAATGGTGGTTTGATTCTGGAGCAACTATTTTATTTTCAAAAGCACAAAGAATTCCTGGTAGTTTCAAAGCATGGATGGCACAAGAGAGACACCAGAAACAGCTCTTGGTCATTTCACTCTTCAATAAAACTTGCAAAATCTTGGAAAAACCTTACAACTTGCTAAATTTCTCCTTATCCAAGCAATTCAAAAACCAAACAGCTCAGAATTTTATGCCCTGTGTTGAGTTTGATAGGATTTTGTGTGGCATAAAGTCCTATGCGCTCAGAATCACTGTGGCAGAGTCCTGTCAGCATTTCTGCTGCAAAATGTGGCTAGATTCTCAAGGGAGAGGCTTAGGTCACTTCATTAAGACACATAAGGACACAGACTAATGCCCACCTAAATGTAGGGTTAGTTCTCCTTTGGCAGGCCTGAAGTGGACAAATCAGCTCCTAGCTCAAAGTGGGAAATGAGAAGGGAGAGTCAAACAAACTGAATTGAGCAAGATGACAAGATCATATAAAGGTTTTGTGAACACTGTGTCTCTCCCTGTCCTTTCCTTCCTTCCCATAACCATTATCTCTTCCTCCAGACTGACACGTGAGCTTGGTTGTGCTCTCAAATACATTGGTTTAGATGAATCATCATTCACCTGGTGTTTCTATACCAAAGAAAAACAAAATGCTAATCAGGCCTGTGATACTTTTGGTCCGCTCAGAACCTCTAGAGATTGTCCCGTTCATCATCGCCAATTAATGAGACTGAAGCTCAAGGTCTGCTGTGCACAGTCCCTACCCCAGCCCAAGTGTGAAAGAGGAACTTGTGGAGATGAGCCAAGGAAAGAGGAGACAATACTCCATATACAGATACCACAAGAAAGATGCTACAATTATTCGCTGCTTGTATAAATCAAATTTGCCACCTTATAGAACAAGAAACGCTTCCCCCTTAACCTCAAAGCCAAAATTTGACATTACTGAGACCTAGCTGCAGAAGAAAAAGATCTTCCCCCAAAGCAGCAGCTCAGTCTATCAGTTCCGTGCAAGTATAACAATATGCTGACAGGCATAGGCAGCTCCACAAAGCTCCCAATAGGTGGACATGCAGATATGCAAATCTGTAACTGGATTTCTTAAAATCAAAATATACTATATTACCCAGTCCTTTTGCATGTAGCTGGAGATTTCTAGTGCCAGGCAGGAAATATAAACCGGGCATCTCAGTAATGAACCGCACATGTAGCTGACAGCATTCATCAAGAGAATGCGCATGCATCTGATAACTGACCAACCCTATACAAATTATAAAAAATCTATATTTACATTTAGGACAAATTTTTCAGGGACACTGCCTCCTAGCCTGGGCAACTGACTATCTAATAAGTATCTCCACAAGAAATTCAGGAATAGGATTTTTCCTGCCCCTAGGTTGTAAAACTGCTATCAAGCAAAAAGGAGCAAATTATTAATCTCTCAATTTAGTGGCTGAGCTGTAAAATCACAGAAAAGAATATCTGGAAGTCTTCCAAATAAGTAAAACTGAAAAAAAAAACCCTCATGACAATTTTTTTTTCATTCACTTTTATTTCCTTTTCCTTGGCTTTTGTTTATTGGGGTTATTTTTCTTAAAATTTAGATACATTTAAAGATGAAGCAAGTGAGAACAATGTATTGATGCATTTAATTTTGAAAATGCTTAAATGTAAATTTTAAGAAAAAAACATCCCTTACGTCTATCCAAAATGATTCACTGAACTCAACCGCATTTCCACACCTTTCAACCTGCCCAGGACTACATTTATCAACGAACAATCTTTTTGCCTGAAGAGTTTCACCTGTATCTACTGAAGGGAGGCTGTTCCTGCCCAGTGGAAGAAGCCGAAAGTCTCTGCCCCAAGACCTTGCAGTCACAGAGCAGAGATCAAGAGGACTTGTGCCATCCAGCAGCCACTGCCTGCTTACAGAGTTTAGGTTGACAGTCATCATTTAAGTTTTAGGGCTCAGGTCACACCTGTATGGCTTTTCTTGATTCAAAATCACAGGTCCCACACCTATCAAAATAGCAGTAGCTGTATGGTGTGTTGGGCTTCAGCTATTTTGGAAAGAGAGGAGGGAAGGGGGAACAAGGAGCAGGACACTGGACTTAATGCGAACCTCAGCAGTTCCAAGCATTTGCTTCAGAAATATATCTTGGCAATGCTGATTTAACTGGAAATACTCACACAAACCATGAGGTATGCCAGGGAACATAGTGAGAGGTATTGGAGGACATTTGTGTTTGTTGTGGAGGGTCTTAAACTGGGAAACTTTCCTCACAAATTATTGCACCACACTGGGGCATAGAATAAATGTATGTGCCACTTTGTGCTTGGCAGTGCTATGAGGCTTTACATCCTATAAATCTATAAATTGTATTCATCCTGCTTACACCCTTAGTCTTATAAATTGTTAGACTAGGAACAGCTAATGGATCAGCTGGTGATTTATTTTTAAAAGATGCATACTGCTACTTTTTGGGAGCTGAAAAGGATATGGACACTGGATGTTCCCTTCCCGAAGCCTGGGTTCCAGGTAATGAGGAATTACTTTATATCCTCCCCTGTCCCCATGCACACGCTTTATTCAAGTTCTCAGAGGGGACCTACTGCTCAAGAAGAGAAAGGGCTGGCATTGTGCAGAGATGTACTGCAAAGGAAACCGCATGCAAAGAGCGGATGAGGCATCAGTAACGGTGCCAGGTAATGTATAATGCAAAAGGATGTGCATAACTAATTTATTAGTATAAATTTGACTTTGAAAAAAAAAAAGCATATGCAAAGAAAACTCTGAAGGAGCAAACCCTACCTGCCTTGCTCCTTGAGACAAACCCTGACCTCACTAAAACTAACTGAGTAAAATCAAGGAGCTTCGCCACAAATGATGCTACAATTTACAACAGGAGACTCACTCCTGTACCAGCAGCATCGGTCAATGCAAGTCCTGCCAATCATAACAGAAAGAAGGATCCATCATTTCCCAAAGGCTTCTCCACTGGCTCAAGTGGGACCATGCTGCTTAGCTCAAAAGAGCTGCTCTTTGAGCTCATCCCTGAAGTTAAACAGTCACTTACCTTTTAGAGAAGCGACATGGGATAAAGCTTGTGCGTAGGTGGCTGTGTTGAGAAGAGTCCCCGGCAGGCAGGAAGGGAAGAAAGGTCCTGTAGGACCCACTGCTCGACTCAGGCTGATGGAGAAGAGAAAACACCTTACAAAACCAGAACTAGCTGATTCCAAAGACAGCATATGCACACAAACATGTTGGTGTCTCAGCGTCCAACTAGATGGGACCAAGCCTGGATAACATAAGCCTCCCATAGCCAACAGCTTCTCAACATCTCCATGGGGAGCAGTGAGCTGCAAGAGAGACAGCTCATGTTCTAATGATTTGAGCTGTACCTGAAGATGGTGCCATGTAGGTCAAGGCTTATCAGCAGGCAAGTCTGTATGTATGTACGTATGTATGACGCATACTTGCCCCAAAGAAAGGCAGCTGCTAACATGTATTACTCTTACCTCTGCTGGATCTCCAGACTCTCTTTTTTATTCCTGGTTTGATCTGCTGGAGAAGGGGAATTTAAATTCCTCGCAGGAGGTGCCACCTCAGCCATTGTTTCCTTAGAGCCCTCTTGGTCAGAAGAACCTCTCTCTGTTTTCCTCCATTTAGCTCTTCGGTTTTGGAACCACACCTGGAGCAGGAGAGCAATCCAGGCTGAATACCGTGTTTAGCCGAATGCAAAGCAAGGAAATTGTAAATTGTTACTCTAGTGAAATCAGTTATTTAGAAGCTTGGCTAAAACTTCCTTTTATTTTGTGTCCCCATTGTTATTCTAGTTGAGCCTTAAGATTACATTTGTATCTGGAATATTTCTGTGTCTGGAAAACAAGCCAGGAATGTCTAAACACATTCAAAAGGCATGTTAAAAATAAAAAAAATAAAAACGAGTTTTGATGCTATTGTGCCAGTTAGCAAAACATTTAAACATGTGCTTGCTTTTATGGACACATTTAATTCTCACTGATTTCTATGTATTAACATGTCTAAAAGCCTTTTGTATAGGGATGGACTTCAATATGTATTTAAGCACCCTGACGAAACTGTATGTAAGTCTTCAAATGAGCTGCTGCTAGAATCAGAGAGGTCAGAAATGAAAAGGTGTGTATTAGACCATCTTATCCAGCCCATTTCCTGGAGAGGACTGATACTTTCTGTTATTCCTCTGATATATTTGTCCAGTCTGCATTTAGAGGACTCAGAAGGTGGTAGATACTAATTTTGGAAGATCATTCTGCAGTTTACTACACACCAGTTTCCAAAACTTATTTTTTTCCTGTAATGCAATACAAATATTCATGTTCTTGATTTTATCCCCCGACTTTTAGTCCAAACACTTTTTTTTTTCCATTTACCTTGGAGCTGATGCTCTGAAAGCACCTTATTTGAGGTGGAAAATGCCAAGCCTCTCTTGAGGTCAGGAAATCCACATTTTAATACATGAATTCAAGTATAGACGAGATTGTTATTATTATTATTCTCCTCCTACAACTCCATTTTAGTTAGCTGCCTTTTAATTGCATGTATCAGCAAACGTTGAATAATGATTTTATCTATATTCTAAATTTAGAGCAGTTAAATGCAAAGCAAAATGCAGACACTTTCTTGCGTCTTAATTGAATGAAGGTCACAGCTATAACAACATTTAATTGAGCTATTTTTCATTATCATATTTTAATGACTTTGCACTGACAGTTCGCCTGCTTCTGAGGAAAGAGCATGATGAAGTCGTTTATTTCCCTATTTAGTTATTGTTTGACAACATCATCTTCGATTAAGACTCTGCTTTATAGCACATTAATCATATTTGAATGAGCAAGGGGTATAAATGTAAACATATCTCCCATCCTCTGTGTTTCCCCATGTCCCTGCATGAAAGCAGGCTAAACAAATGCTTGCATCTATTGTCTGTTTGCATAATAGCCAACAACAAGGCTAAACACCAGTCCTCAGCAATCTAATTGTCACCACCCCTATCTCACCCTTGCACCTTTCAGGAAGAAGTTATGATCTTCCACTTCTGAATGCTCAATAATTGTGCCATTTATCTCAATTTGCAGTTCAGTCTTTAGGCACCAATAGCCAAAATGGCATTTTTTATTATTTTTTAAGCCAGTACCTACAATGCAGTGGCAAAAGGAGATTTTCATTTCCAAATAATAATCAGTTTAATTTGCCCGCATATGACCAATGATTCATGTTCAGATTTAATAATCAGGATCGCATAATCTGATTATAGGAGAAATAATTTGTTTACAATCCCCAGTTTACTGCAGTGAATTCCATTATCTCTCTTCAGCCATTGGGTTTTAAGAGATACTGACATGACCCTAGGGAACAAAAGGCAAGCTATTATATTTCCTACAATTAGATCTTTGCATAGTCTTAACCCCGAGCACCTAAATAAAAAAAATACAAAAGCAGCATGCAGAAAAGCCCCATAAATAAAATGAATACATAATCATGTTCAAAAAATGGCTTGCAACTCTGTGGTGGATGCCTGCAGAGTTATGGGGATCCATCTCTGACAACTGCAGGGCTACTGTTCTTAGCAGAGCTTATACACGCACCAAGTTAATCCCTGGATATGGAAAAACAAACACCTGGGTCAAAACAAAAGGGGGAAAAAAGTGGGGAGAAGGAAGGAAGGAAGAAAGGAAGGGGTGGAAAAGAGTGGGGGTGGAAAGAGAGCGATTGTGGTCAATGGTATTTATTGGATCATATTAAAGGTGTGGGAATTGCTCTGCAGGCTCTTTAGCTGTCTAAATTAAGTGTTTAGAAAGAAGGTGAAAGGGAGAAAAGTTGAAGAGGTGCAGAATATTTCTTCCTGGCAGCTGGGCTCCCTGCAGCTGACTAACCCCATTGCTCGACAGTGGTCATAGTTGCTTTGGAGAATCACATCTCAGCTCTTTTCTCCACACACACCCCCTCCAAAAGCAAGGAAATGGATGTGCATTGATGTAATTTAGTACCTTGGAGACGCGGACAAATTAGTGTAGAACATTATCACTAGTTAATTATGAATGACCGATTAATCAACCTAATCTAATATTCCACATTATGTTGATGTTATTAAAGTGCATCATGAAAATGACAGATCGTCTTCATTTGCGTTCTTTGGCCAAATGTGCACTCTGCAGTCATGATGTCAAAAAAAAAAAAAAAAAGTTTGCCAGTTTGAATACCCGAGAGTTAAATAATTCCCCAGAATGTTTACCTGCACCCTGGCTTCCGTGAGGTTGATTTTCATAGCCAGCTCTTCCCTAGTGAACACATCGGGGTAGTGGGTTTGAGCAAAAACGGCTTCCAGTGCCTCGAGCTGGTGGAGGGAAGGAGAGCGAACATCTGTCAGGGCCAGGCCACGGCTCGCAGCGCGGTGCGGGCCGGGGAGCTG